GTGTGTGTGTGTGTGTGTGTGTGTGTGTGTGTGTGTGTGTGTGTGTGTGTATGTGTGTGTTCTCTTCTCTTTTCTTAACTCATAGATGAAGGAGATTCCTGAAGGGATTATTACAAACAGCACAACAGGTACACATCCCTTTCAGTCCTCTTGGACTACCCTTTCTCTATTCTGGTGAATTCTATACATGCATATAATGAAATATGATCACATCCACCCCTATTTCTCTCCCCCAACTCTCCCCATGTGCCCCCAAACATGTAACTTTTCTAACTTAATTTTTGATAACCCACCAAGTACAATCAGTGCTGTCTACATGTGCATGGGGGTAGGCCATCCACCAGAGCATGAGAAACCTACCAGTGGGAGCATCTTCCAAAGAAAATGATCGTCCCTTCTCCCAGCAGGTATCAGCTGCCATATATCCTCATTAAGGGGTAGGGCCTAGAGTGCGACTTCCTGCCCATGCCAGAATGAATGTTGGCTGTCTTGACCTTGTACAGGTCTTGTCCTGGTAACCACATTTGCTATGAGTTCATTGGTGCAATAGCCATCCCATGTCCAGAAGACAACATTTTACAGCATTCCACCCCATCTGATAGCTCGTACCTTCTTTATCTGTGCCAATTTTATAGACCCTGAATCCTTCCTTGGCTTCAAGAAGCTTTAATGTTAAAAATTAAGAGGTAATAAACATATTTATAATATGAAAATATGCCATACCCCTAAAGTTGGTCAAGCTTTACTTTCAGATTTTCTGGTCCTTGGATCCTAAGAAACCTCTATGAGACTGAGTTGCCTGGAAGCTTGCTGTTTCTCTCTTCTTTTCCTCACATATGGAAAGTGAATATAAAAAAACCCTCCTATGACATGATCCAACATAAGCAAAAAGGTTTGCTTATGCTTTGTTGTTCCTTGAAGAATGAGGCTGATGTCAGGATTTCACATGAAATTGAAGCTTTGCTTCACTTTGTCTCCTCTCTACTGTACTGGACCTTTGTAGTTATTTCATTAGTAAGCAAGTCATCTTGACTTTATGACTCTAGAACCAATTCTGAGACGACATGCTGTGTGGTGATCATGTCTGCATCTCTCAGCAAGCAGAATTCTTGTTGGTTTTGGGGGCAATGTTTTTAACAGGCAGAAGATGTAAGAAGGAGAACATTCAAAAGCTCCTCCTTTTGCATAGTTTGTGTGTATTCCCCAGCTTTTCAGGACACCCAAGTTTTGCTGCAGGAATCAGTCTTCCTCCAGAATCATCCCTCATCTTTTGAGTAGCACAATTACCCACATGCCATCTACCATCACTTCCCATAAATTATTCTTCAAAAATTATTTTGAATTAATCCATTCTCATACCACTTCAAGTCAGAATTATTTTTAAAAACTGGACTATCCTATTCATTTGTTATCTTTTTTATTCTACGAAAATTAGGGACATGGGAGGTGTCTTACTCGCTGCCCAAATCTGAGGATCTGTGTTCAAATCCCTAGCACCCTTGTAAAAGTCCAGATATGGCTGCATGTTCCTGTAACCCTAGCACTGTGGATCAAAGTCAGGTAGATTCCAGGAGCATGCTAGTCAGCCAGGCTACTCAAAATGGTGTTTCTGGTTCAATGAGAGATCCTGTCTCAAAGGTACAAGGGAGAGAGTGATAGAGGAAGACACTGAATGGCCTCTTGCCTCTACATGCATACACGTGCATGCACAGATGAAAGTATCCTCCCCCAACACAACACACTTTATATATTAAAGTTTTTTTCCTTGGTCAAGGTAAACACAAATAAAGAAATGATATATTCAACATTGAGTTAATTATCATTTAACTCTTGCAATATGAATCTTCATGGATATTCTTTTTACAAACCTTTAAAATAGTGCCTATACCTAAGGCTCCATCCATAGCTAGGGACAGCCCTTGATTGGTTTGATTTTGGTTTCTGGCATAAGGTATTGTCTTCCATGATTATCTGTATATATTTCTTTACTTTAGACTACCATATCTATCTTCCTCAGCACCAAATGTTCTAGTGGAAATATCATTGGAATTTTCATTCTACTTGTTGTTGTGCATGTTAAACAACCTCCAGCCTCATTCATCTGCCTGTATAGGCAGTCTGTATTGTGTATCCAAGTACCAACTGTTATTTGTGGCAATACTCTAGATTTGAAGTTCTATGTCTTTCATCTGACTCTAATTCTATCCATATTCTCCGAGTGTTTTTAGTGTAGTTCTGTGGAACATAAGTCTTTTGATATACCTAAAGAGAAACATCTGTGAAGTTTTAGTTTTCAAAGAGTTGCAAGTACTTCAAGAGAAAACAATTTTGTTAAAAAAACACAAATATTTATAAAATTGAAATTATTAATAAACTTGGAATATAAGTTTATAAGAGTAATAAACATTGCATGAGACATCATAGTGGGTCTTGAAAGAGTGGATGAATTTGTCCAAACTAATGGTGGCAATTTTTCAGGACAAAAATGGAATACCAAGCAAGATACTACCTATGTTAATTATCCAAATTGTGTATTCAGAAGTTCAAATGAAATGTGTGCATTTTCTCTTACATACTCATCTATTTTCCTCATTTCTCAATATTTATTTTATTTAAACTAAAAATTCATTGAGTTTATTTTACATATGAAATAATCAATGTTCATTGTTTCATAACAAATATTATTGATGAAGTCTGAAGGAAATAAGCTTCTCAAAAATTACTGATAGATGTTTAAATGGTTTGATTTTCCTTTATGTAATGTTATATTTGTATTTATCTTTTGCCTCAGAAATTCAATTTCTAGATTTACATCTGTCAGATATACTATTAGAAATGTCAAGGAATATACAAAAGGCTGATCTGGATAGCATGATTTATAACAGTAAGTGATTAAATAAAGAAATGACACATGTATAAAATAAAGTGCCATGAGGTCATAAAAGGAATCATAGGATTAAAGAAGATCTGTTGGAATCAGCGAGGCCCTAATTAACGCTTTGATGAAAGTAGCACCATGACTGACACTTAACCATACCACTTCAACAAAGTATAAGGACCTATATGTGAGACAAGGTGCATACAGAATCTCAGGACATTCTTTCTGGGAAGAATTCAGTGGGAAAGAAATAGCCACTGAGGTTATTCATGCATGTTCATGAGGGTTATTGAGCTACTGTTCCTTGCTGCAGTCTAGTTAGTTTAGAAGAACTAACATTGCCTCAAAGGTATGCCCCCCTCTTTTTCTGCATATGACCCCATGTTAAAATTACTAGCCATTTTATAGTGTTCAAAGTGTGTGTTACACAGGAATAAAAGAATCTTGAAGTTCTTGGCACTGAATTGTTGAAATGTCAACAGAATCAGTAAACAAAGTAATATAAAGGCTTTGCAGATGCTGCTGTCCCCTATAGCCACTTGCTATCAGCTTTGACAAACTCCAGCGCTCTTTGATATTGTAGTTGATGTTGAACCTCTGGGCTCCATCTCCTTTGAGATGTTTGCAGACAAAGTTCCAGCAGAAAAATTTCATACTCTGAACACTGTAGAGGAAGGACCTGGCATTTCAACTTCACTGAATTGTTCCAAGATTCATGTGTCAGAGTGGTGACTTCACATGCCACAATGACACTATCAGCAAGTTCATCCACAGAGAGAAATTTGAAGATGAGAACTTCATCCTGAAGCATACAGGTCCTGGTATTTTGTCCATGTCAAATGCTGGACCAAATACAAACAGTTCCAAGTTTGATCTGCCTTGCCAAGATGGAATGATTGTATGGCAATCATGTGTTCATTGAGGTGAAAAGCATGGTCATTTTGGAAGCATGGAGTGATTGGAGTACAGGAATGGCATCCATGGAGTAGGAAGAAGGTCATCATGGACAGCCTTAATATTTCTGACTTGTGTGCATCATAGCCACCAGGAAATCCCCTTTAAACTCAGGAGAGCCCCACCTCATCTCTTCACAATACTCACAGTTCATCTCACTGCAATTCTTTGGGCTCCTTTTGTTCTTTATTTACCTCAAAGTCTAAGTGGATTTCAGAGTTAAGTTTATGATTATGGATAGAAACTAAATAAGAAAAACAAAGATACACTTTTGTGAGGTATAATTGGCAGGTAAAGAAAATTTTATATTGATGACAATAATATGTCTAAACTGCATTTGTGTTTTTTTCTTATTCTATTGAGATTTCCAAAAGCCATATTGGCAACTGGAATTCATCACAATAGAGATCAATAAGAGATAGATATGAATCACAAATATATGTTCTCCATTCAACAAATATTAACCTTACCTTTTAATGTCTATAGGATTAAGTTTCTGAGGGTCAGAGCCTTGTGGAAGGTTCGACTTAGAGCATTCTTCACCTCATTATTTCTCAGGGTATAGATGATTGGATTCAACATGGGAGTCACAACAGTGTAGGACAACGATAATAATTTCTTACTTTCAGGGGAATTGTTTGATTTAGGCCTAAAGTAAGTGAGGCTTAAAGACACATAGAAAAGAGAGACAACGAGGAGATGTGAGGAGCAGGTGGAGAAGGCTTTGTGCTTCCCTTTGGCTGATGGAATCTTGAGGATGGAAGCAGCAATGCGAGTGTAGGAACATAGGATCAGCAGGCAGGGTATCATGACGACCAGAATGGTGCCAACAATGGCATAGACCTCAAACCGAGCTGTGTCTGCACAGACCAGCCTCAGCACAGGTGGGCTGTCACAGAAGAAGTGGTTCACCTTGTTGGTGGCACAGAATGGAAAACTGAAGAGCCATGTGGTCTGCACAGTGGCAACAGGGAATCCTGGAAACCAGGAGGCAGCAGCCAGTTTGGCACGTGTCCCTTGGTTCATGATGACTGGGTAGTGCAAGGGACTGCAGATGGCTACATAGCGGTCATATGCCATGGTGGCCAGGAGGAAGCATTCAGCCACTCCGAAGAAGAAGAAGAAATACATCTGAATGGCACAGCCAAGGAAGGAGATGCTTGTGTCCTGGGCAATCAAGGTCCCCAACATTTTGGGCACAATAACCAGGTTGAAGCCAATCTCTATGAAGGATAAGTTCCTGAGGAAGAAGTACATTGGGCTTTGCAGCATGGGATCAGCCAAGGTTACCAGAATGATGAGGCTGTTTCCCAGCAGAGTGATCAGGTAGATGGCTAGAAATGCCAGGAAGAGCAAGGTCTGTATTTCAGTAGGCAGGGAAGAGAAGCTGATGAGGACAAACTCAGTTACTCTTGACCAGTTTCCTGCATCCATGGACATTGGACATAAATCTCCAGTGTGCTCATGAAGACAGATTATTGATTGCACAAATCAGATTCTAGAATTTTTTCCCTCCAGATTACTGATTAGTTTCGAACAAAGAGTCAAAATCAGGATATGTTTGAAGAGGACAAATTCCTAGTGCATAAGCTGAGACATGCCTGAGTGAGTCTCTGAAGTGGATTTTCCCCTGTTTGCACATTCACACCTGGGAAGGACAAGCATAGGTATATCCCTGAGTCTGTAGAAGGGGCATTAAAGGATACATTTTTGGAGATGTTATGGCTCTGAATACACACAAACTTTTGAGAAATATGTCCATTATTCATAATTTCAAAACATCTCGCCCCCACACAAAATAGTTTAGTAAAACTCCAGAAATAGAATTGTAATAGTAGACAGGCAAACTAATGATTTTTCTACTTTTCATGAATCTTGACTTTGAGAGGTGAGGGGTATGCTAGCTATTAAGAACAGTTTATGTGTCCTATTTCCTTGAAATCTCTGTTTCCTGTGTGATAATACTGACCTCAGATATATTGTGGAAAATCAAAAGAAGAACAGTTTTTTTTTTTTCTGAGATAGAGTCTCACTGTGTAGCTCAGATTGGCCTTAAACCCATAATCCTCCTGCCTCTGTATTAACCTCCCTAGTGTTGGAAATAAAGGTATGCATTACCTGTAATGCAGCAGATTTTTTTTTAACACAAGCAATATCTGTTGAATCGCCAACTTCTTCCGATTTCTACTAAATTATGTGTTACAGAATTCTTTTTTTACCTAAGTATTTGTACACTGATGCTTCAGAGAGTCAATGGAGTTTCTAAAAATAATTGTGACAAAGATAGAGGAAAAGATAATGAAGAGAACCCATATCATTAACATCAGCGTGTTCAGAAGGTTCCCTAGACCTAGCTGGATCTTAGCTGTATTATTTGGTTCTAAATTTGTTGGTTACCAACAAGTTCTTTCTTTATTGCAGTCTAGGATATTGAATTCTAAAGAAAAATGATGAGATAAAGTTGGAAAATGAAATTTGCTAAAATGGACATGGTGAGGGAATCACAAAAAGAAAAAAATCTGAAAAAAAAACATTATGAATAATGAAATCCACAAATTTAGATTCTGGGTGTAGTTGGTCAGGCCTATAATCCTAGCATTTGGGAGGCTGATGGCCGAGAGTTACAGGTCAATCTGGAACTCGCAAGAATCCAGGTTAGCCTGGGCTAGAGAGTAAGGCTTGTCTCAAAAATAAAACAAAACCAACAAGCCAATTAAAAACCCCACCAAACCACCATTTTACAGTAAAAAGCAAAAATAATGTTGTTGGCTGTGTATTTTACACTCTTAAATTTTTCCATGCTAATGAATTTGTATTTTATTTTGTAGATGAAGAAACCACCTGAATATTGGGGAAATGAAATTAAATGTTCATATAAGTCATGTAGAAAGATCACTGACAATTGTGAGACTAGGTGGTATAGTATGAATGAAGGAGAGGAATGAAAGCTGTGTGCCCAGAAGCAAGGAGACCAGGCTGTATGCTTACCTTTCTCATGAGTGTTGATTACCAACAGATTCTGAAGCAAGAGAAAAACTCAATGAAGAAAGCTTAATGTTACTCATGGGTAATGTGAATATCAAGACCACCTTTATAATTCCAAAGCATCTACAAAAGAAAAATTTTATCACAGAATAATTATGGTCAAACTGATCAAAGATTTTCCTGAAGCATGTAATGTCTTGAATTTTCCAATAAAGCCTTATAAAATAGTAAAAGGATCAACAATGCAGTAGAAACTCTCAAGTAGAAACCTTCTTCCTGCCACTGAAAGGCACAGCCATCTCTCATACAAATTATCAATTAAAAAAAAGCCACATAGTGACCCTTCTATAATAAACTGATCTGTATTTTATTTTACTTAATTTTAGGGGGGAATAAAGAAAATTCTGTTAGGTGGCTTGATTAGAAAAACAATAAAACAATGTGAAATAAATAAGAAAACCCTTATACATCACAGATTAGGGGTAAAAAGAAAGAAAATTGCTTACCATCATTCATCTTTTAAGGAAATTTTACCATCCTGGATGCGCTATTGTACTGTAGTTTTTAAAGCTATTATCTTTTGGAGAAGCAATATACTGGAATTCTCTGTCCCACTTCCTGCAACTGTGTGCAAATCTAAACTTACTTTAAGAGGTAAAATAAGAAATACCAAATGGAAGGCTGTATCTTTAAAGTAAAGGTTATGTTTTACCAAGTGGCAACAAGTAGCATTGTAAATGGATCCTTCGTGATGAGGGGGCAATTAGATGTTTGGAAATATCTTCATCATGTCAGTTTGTTGTCTGATTATATAATTGATTATATTTTCCACAAATTTATGATATTTATTCATGTAAAACCATGAGCAGCATTTTATACCAAACTAAAAAAATCTGTCAGATCCAGAATATCAATAAGTTTTGAATGCATTTCAAAAGAGGTACTGTTTAATGGAACTCATTACTTTGAGTGCTAACTAAAAAGTAGTAACAAGACAATGGTAATAATGAAGTCATGATAAATGGTGATGTCTTGCAATTATTAGTGAGAGAAGTTTTGTTTAAGAAGATAGGAAATTTCTATAAAATCTCTGCATATTTGTTGAGCAGAATCATAGAACCAGTGACAATAGTTAAGTAGTAAAACCAATAGTAAACTCATTTCATTTGTCTCCCTTCCTATGTATTTACCAATACTCATTCTCTTAATACTTAAAAATGTTAAATGAGATACACTGGCTGGCCCTGCTGAAACATGCTGGAGCAGGCTGAAGAAACTGCCAAGGGATGCTTCTTTTCCTACACTGAACTTATAGGACCAGAAGAAGTTGAAACAGATGACAAAAGACTGCTGGCTTTAGCTGTCCTCAGCTGTGTCTCTTTTGTCCTCGGTGTTAGATGCAGAGATTAGAACCTTAGTTTCCCCCAGGTGTAACTAGACTTTCTTTTATTCTCCATGGGACCTGATCTTTCTTGGATCTATTATCCTTTGAGGATGTGATGAAGTTCCAATACCAAAAGTTTAAACTCAGAGAAAGAAAGCTAAACTCTAATGAAAAGAGGTATCATCACCATGTAAGAGCCAAGAGCCTGCAGCTGAATGTCTTAAATGTAACCCTAGGTCTGGAACTCTCTGCTTATGATGCTCAGCAGTTTTGTTAAACTCTCTGAGCTTCAGTTTCCTTGCTTAAAAATAATTTTTTCTTGGATAGAAGTGATGCTATGAAGAAATAAAATGGCATATATTCATTAAAAACAGGTAATAGTTTATAAATCTAACAAATATTCATAATCACACACTACCACAGATCAGGCTCTCTTCTTCCCATTCAATTATACAAATAATACAATTGTGGCTCTTGTGCTTAGATGACTTATATTTTATTCATTTTCTTTGAGATGGGCTCTCATAATATCCAGGATGGCCTTGAAGTCACTATGTAGCTGAGGATGACCTTGAACTTCTGATCCTTTTGTCATGACTTACCAAATACTGAGATCATGGTTGTAGACCAGGATGCTCAATGTGTACAGTTCTGGGGGTTGAACCAGGGCTTCATTCATGCTATGCAAGCACACCAGGAAATGAGCTATATCCCCAAGTCCAAAGCTTAGTCTATATTTGGTGGGATCTCCAGGTAGACTAACAGTAAATATGACTAAATGGCTTCTAGAAGTCCCGTAGTCAAGAAATAGAAAACTGTAAGGGAAAAAGTTCCCAAATACATAGATCTTAACCTTAGATTTATCATTTTTAGTTATCTTGTTCTATGCTGATCATTCAATAGGAAAATGTATAAGGTGGAGACATAATCCTTGACCCCTAACTGTTCAGGCGACTTGAGGTTATTAAATTTTGAGGGAGCTAGTCAACAGGTCAAGACAGAAATAGAATGGAATTAATTTTTTTGTTTTTGTTTTTTTGTTTTTTGTTTTTTTTTCAAGACAGGGTTTCTCTGTGTAGCTTTGCGCCTTTCCTGGAACTTGCTTTGGAAACCAGGCTGGCCTCAAATTCACAAAGATCCGCCTGCCTCTGCCTCCCGAGTGCTGGGATTAAAGGCGAGCGCCACCACTGCCCGGTGGAATTAATATTTTTAAGCAAACTTAATTCACTTTATTTTTCTAGTATAAAAATCCTGAATTGTAGCTATAGTTGGAGTGTGTGTCCTATACTCAGAGATCCTGGTGTGGGTTTTACAAGATGGTGGGCAAATTCCTGACAGGAAACCTTGGTGATCATGTTTCCAAAGGTCAGGGGTTAGATAACTATAGGTCTTTTTTTTTTTTCTTTTTTCTTTTTTTGGTTTTTCGAGACAGGGTTTCTCTGTGTAGCTTTGCGCCTTTCCTGGAACTCACTCTGTAGACCGGGCTGGCCTTGAACTCACAGAGATCCGCCTGCCTCTGCCTCCCGAGTGCTGGGATTAAAGGCGTGCGCCACCACTGCCCGGCATTAGATAGCTATAGGTCTTGATGGCATGATAATCTTTATGAAGTTGTCCAGTGTGGCAATGCAGTCCCTGGCTGGAGTAAGGAGTCATCAGTACCGGCCATTAGCAGCATCTGTGTTGCCAGTGCCATTAGGTCTTGGACAAGGTTTATCTGCACAGAGCCACAGTGGACTGTCACCTTGTATAGGTCAGTGTGCTATTTGTTTTCATCCTCCTCTCACTCTTCCCTCTGCACAGGGACACTGAGAGCTTGGTCAAGGTGATGGTCCTTCACATGGAGGTGATGACCTTGAAACACATAATATCCAGTGTGACCCTTGTAACCCCCATAGTGACAAAGGCATTGAACCTGGTCTTTTGGGCATCATGAGTCTACTTCTACATTGGTGTAATCTTCAAAATCTCATCCTGGAGGGAGACCCACGAGAAAAAGTGAATAGTTTTTTTCAGATGGGCACAGAGGGCAGGGACTTGAGCTTCATGTTCTTGTCAATGTGGGCAAGCTTGATGATTGAGATCCATTCCT